TCCTCTATCTTTCAAATTATATACAATTGTTTACTCAAGGATCAATAATTTAAATGAAAAATTTGATAATTGACACATAGCCAAAAAAATTAAATCAAATATCATAATACCAAAAAGTCAAAAAGTTATAATAAATCACTGAAAATAAGAAATTCATAAACATCCCAGTTTTATTACAAAACCTTTAATAGTGAAAACAGAAATTACTTTATTTTACTTAAATGGTAAAAAAGTGTCCACCTTAAAATATATTACTTTTCCACTATGTAAATTAAAATGATACAAACACTTTCCTGTACCACAAAATGCCTGACTCTAAATAACATCATATCATATTATACGACCCATTAAAGAACCACTTTGTACATAGTTTGTCTATCTGCATAAACAGTGTATGCACTGTGACATGCTATCTGTCTCTCAAATACAGGATAATTAATTTCAAGTCAAGGGGTCAAAGTTCAAGCATCGGATATTTTATTCATTTCTAAATGATATACTTTTTTTTGATTGCATGTTAGACTAAGCTGGAAGTACAAGTATGATAGATTTATATTTTTTATTGCTTATTGTAACAAGAAATAATTCTACCAGTATATGAAAATTTAAACTCTGAAGTTTTATTCTTTTCTAAGTGCTATAAAAGGCTCTCACATGATCAATTTTTTACCAGATTTTTATGACATTTATATCAAAGGTTTATATCATCAATGTCTCGGAAACATTCAAAGATCAGTGCCAATCAACTAATTTTAAAAGAGTTATGCTCCTTGGAAATATTAATTAAATGGAAAATTGTATTATTAGCGCTCTCACATGTACAATTTATATGAAAGGTTTATATCAGCATTTTTTTGAAAAATTTTGAAAATCAGTGCTGATCAACTTTTTGTAAATGAGTAATGCCCCTTGGAAAATTAATTGTATAGAAAATTGCATTGCAAAAGCACACTTAATAGAAAAATAAGAAGATGTGGTATGATTGCCAATGAGACAACTCTTCACATAAGACCAAATGACACAGAAATTAACAACTATAGGTCACAGTACGGCCTTCAACAATGAGTAAAACCCATACCGCATAGTCAGCTATAAAAGATTCCCAAAATGACAAATATAAAACAATTCAAACAAGCCTACATTTCTCTAAAGATATTTATAAAAAGTTTAAAAATTATTTTGAGTTATTGCCCTTAGGTAGATAACATTATGTGCAATGCTGGGGACATTGGAACTCTGTTCTTAAATCAGGCCAAAACTAGAATTAAAGTTGTTTGATGTTGCCTACCTGTACCCACCTAAAAACAGCCTACCGAAAAATTTTAGGACACAAATTGCTTCAATTTTTTTTTCAAGTTTTTTTAGTGCTCTAACATCGCTTTCTTGTCTAAAACATGGAACTTATGTTGTTGGCCAAAAAAAATAAGTAAAATCCCTACCTACCTACCTAACTCTTCAAGTTATGGGCTAAAGAAACATCAAACAGAGAATTTGTTAAGTGTGGCCTCAGTACATTGTAAAGGTTCAAATATGTTACCTATAATTTACTGTAATCTAATTACAAGTATCAGTGTATATCTTGTTGCTTTGTTAATTACTGTCTTTGTATTATAATTATACATGTAGTAGAAATTCTGGAAAACGAACAACTCGATATTCTGTTTCCTAATTTCTAACTAGAAGTTCCGTCTGATTATGATGGGTCTACTAGGGTTTTTTTTTAACGATATCCACTACCCATGAGGATCTCCCACAGTCTAAAGATTTTCTTGTTTCCCAATCCCTATATATCTGTTAGGCCAAGTAAATTTAATTAGTAGATTTTCATCCAAATTTTTGAAAAAAATGGGGTGGGTGGGAGGATTTTATTTTTTATTAGATATGAAACGCTCTTGTGACGTGTTCTTCATATATGCAAGTGTAGTAATAAGGTTCTATCATGTATATACATGTATAACGAATCAAACATACAAAGAAATGCAAAAACCAAAATTTGAAACAGGTTGTTATTAATGAAACGAAATTATCGACAGTTACCGGTAACGAAAATGAACAAAATCCAGACCGTAAATTTTTCAAAATAAAAAAAATTTGGGCGGAACGATTTCACAGGGGCGGGCGGGGATGAAAATCTATCAATTAATTTTAATTGGCCTTATATTTTTCTCATTTCTGCTCTTTTGAAGAAAAGACTTTGTTGAAACTAAGATGGATCTCGTTTTTGTAATTCGAAAACAGCCATTTTTTTTACCAGCTTAAATAGTAATTGAAATTTTATTGAAAAAATTACAATTTATCAAATGTGTGTTTTTGATGCCCAGTCATGTTATATGTGTTTTTATTACTCCCTGGGGGCAAAATCGTAATTACTTGTCAGTCAGTCATCAATACTTTAAAAGTCATAAAAACATTTAAACAACAAACCGTACCCTAAATCAATAAGATATAACAGGAGATCATGTCCAGTCAACTTGCACTCAAATCTTATAATCATTTTACACTGAACTGATGTTTCAATGTGAGTAGATATACTTGTTTTAATTGTGTTTTTCATTAAACTATCAGTGGTGGGTGAAATAAATTCTGCTTGATTTTATTTTAAGGAATAAATTTCATAATTGTGAAATTTTTGAGTTTTATAAAAATTGATAATTACCACGTGGATCACTGCTTACATATTACTCAGAAGAAATTTTTCAGAGTATTCTTTATTTTGATTGGTTAGCTGTTACCTGAATACAAGACGCTCATATATATTTCTTGGTTTCGGGATTCGCGGCACATTTAAAATTTATTGTTGAAATTATTTGCCCTCCCACCTGCCGCTTACAACAGTGCTAATTATTAAATTTTTTTGGTAATAATTTAAGTGGAGGAGGAATAGTACTACAGTGGATTAATCATTATAAGTTGGATTCCAATTTCGTATATTTAGGGGGTACATGTAAACTAAAAATTAAATGTTCAACAAAGTACAAATTTACCATAGGTTTGAATGCAGACATTGGCAAATACCATGAAATCAAAAATCGACGAAAATACAATTTTTCCTCAATCCACTAAAATTGATATCCACAAAAATAAATGAATCCACAGTAATTATAACTGCCAAAAGAACTGACCTTTATTTTAAACCGGAAGACTTCATTTGGAACATTAATTTTGTTTGATTAATTTACACAGATTAGATTGATACAAATATTTTTTTGTATTTATTAGTTATTTATTACTGCTGAGCAATGCAGCATTTCTCTTGGTGCAGTTGTAGAATCTATGTGATAGAATTTTGTACAGTCTTCAGGCAATTACTGTTATTAGTTGCTTAAGATAAACAACCTGATTAAATACAGATCCTGGGTCCATTAGCTTTGCTTACAAATATCTGACAACACTCTGTTTTACTTTCTGTTCTGGTAATTATTACATCAGCCAATGAAATTTAAGCCTTTAAATTTTTGAAGGTGTGTATTGATCTGACAAAACCAGAGGATCCCGAAAGGTCTTTAAAATCAGAAAGTAGAACGGATTGAGGGTTTTCAGATCCTAATGTAAGCAAAGCTTGAATACGGGATCTGTATTTTAATCAGATTGCCTAATGATATAATATGAATGCAATGCTATTTTGTAAGTACTATATATATATATATACTGCAATTGAACTTTAGGAATTGATCTGCTGTATAATTATGAATATTGAACCCATCACAACTTACGCCTACACAAACTTCTCAAAATTTATATTTTTGAAGGCGACTTACTTTTTTAAAATCAATAATAATAAAATATTGGGTTTATTTTCTTGGGGGGGAGGGGAGGGAGGACTTGTTTATTTTTTCTCAAAATTTTGGCAAATTTGAGAAAAAAAGACTCCTAAAAAAATCAGTTTTCACATCATCATAATATTTCTCAATTGAGCGATTATTACTCACTAAAATGAGAAAATTATCCCTATTTAGTGGGCTGTGCCAAACCTGTTTAATAAGCTAATGTAAATCAAGTATTTAAACTGTGAGAAAAACTTCTACATTCATAAATAATTGATTTCTGTAAGGTAATAGATCAATTGATTTTGATAGTTTATCAATCTCTTGTCAGAATTGTGTACTTGATGTGACATTAAGTTTCATTCATAAAACATGTATGTTCTGTCAAATACAAATCTCTTTGTTTACAAAACTTTTCATTAGGTTGCCGTCTTTTCTAATTTATAAATATTTGTCCATTAAGGAATTTTATATTTATGGCTGATCATTTAGGATCAATCACTATTGAATTCATTCACAAATTGGAACAAATAAAACCTTGACATTTACTTATGGTTTTGACACTGGTGTTGTTTGATTGCTGTCTAATGATGCTTCCCCAACTTCTCCTTTATGCAAAAATAATAGTTCTGATTCCTACTTTCTGTTAGCTACCTTAAATGTTCATGTTTCCATTACACATTTTATGGACAATTTCAAACATTCAACCCCAAAATAATTTCTTAGATTCAAAAATACAGATATTTTTCCTACCTTCACAGTACCCTATTTTTACCTGCGTCGCTAATGGTGGTCGAAAGCAGGTCAAGTAAATTTTCCACTCTGTCCATCCAAAAGACCTTGGGTAGAAAACTTTTGTCAAGCTTTTCTTAGCTTTTATGAAAGGAAATGCTTTAATATTTGATCCGGGCCTTGATAATGTTCAGTTGTATCGCGTATGCAATTTTTACTTTAGCCGTGTAGCCACTTCCTGTTTGCAAATAGTTTGAAATTTTACCACACTTATTGTACAAGGAAAGTTTCTTCAAACTTTGAAAGGGAACAATCAGTTATGCTTCAGTATGCATGTTACCTCAATCAATTGCATGCAGCAACACAGGTCCAGTCCTGGTATTTGGTGTTTTGTTTTTGTTTTTTTGGGGGGAGGGGGTTGCCAGGAGACAGGAAACAAATATTTATATATATTTTTTGTCTTCATATACAATTTTTACGTAATTTCATAATTTATACTTGCAGTTTTACCATGTGGAAGAAAATATTAGCAGCTGTGTTGGGTATATTGGTGGGATATTGGTTAATAGATGACTTTGATCCAGGTTAGTCCAGTATAAGTACCATGCAATCAGTGATATTGAGTCATTCTTTACTTCAGGGCACAATAAGACAAAATTAGTTCTAAAATACACTGGGACTTCATATTACAAGCTGAAGATCCCTATTGATTTCAAGGTTCCAGGGTAAAGGTCATAATTACCATAAAAAAACTACATTTAATGCAGAACAATTGTTTCAGGAAAATTGATCAAACACTGCATATGGGATTGCAACCTTACTTGGATTTAAAGTCACCATTTATTGAGAGGAAAAATCCCTGTTTATTTTGAGGTCACCACATCAATCAGAGGTCAAGGTCAAAGTGACTTATAATAGTCTGAAGTTTTTGCAGAAAAGGGATTTCTAATGCTACATATATAGGAGTGCTACTTTAATTACTTGGTCATATGAACATATATAAGATGAGGAAGAACCCTTGATTTTGAAGTCAATAGGTTTTGAATGAGGTCAAGGTGATGGTATCTAAAAATAGATTTGTTTAACACAATGCTACTGTCTGAAATCATAACTAAAGAGAATCATTTCTTAAAGTAAACAGAAAGCACTGCCATAAGTTCAGTATAAGCTTTTCCTCTTTATATAGAGGTGTCTGGTATGTGAGCTTATTAAAGGTCTTTAATATTATCATTATAGAGAAGTAAACAAAAGTATGCTGTAACATGTCATTTGTGATATTATAGTCGCTATGGGAACCAAAAACAAGGTCATTATCAATTTACAAATTATTGTTGCCATAATTTGGACTTTGAAGTTCAGTAGCATTCCATCATTAACTAGCCAGTTATAAGATGCACAATGATTACATCTAAGTAATTTGAAATCATTTGTTCAACATTTCAATTGTAAGATATTATATCAATCAGTATTGTACTGTACTTCTGTCTTTATGAAACGAGAAAGTCTATAAGGCGTTTTGTTGTCTTGATTATTGTTACAAAGGAAACAATATTGTATTACTGACAACTGACTAAACCTGGTGGGGTATCTTGAGCAGAATTGTATTATTAACTGAACTCAGTGTGGTATGTGGAGCAGTGTTTTGTCTGAAAGCTTAAGATTTGCTGACTCAGAATAGATTTTTAATCAATGAAAGAACTCAAGACATTGACATGAACAGGTAGGGGAACTGTCAAAGAAGAAAGGTTAACAGGTGCAGATCCAGGATTTGGTGAAAGTTGGGTAAATTGTTCCCAAATGGTAAAAGTAGTGCACGGAGAGGCTATATTAACAATTGTTTACCAACATTGATACTTTTTGTTCAATCAAAGGAGGATATTTGCCCTCTATGCGTCTCCTGAGTAAGCCATTGGTTGGATCAAAGCTGGCTTTTTGTTGTTTTGCATCCTCGGCTGCATGGAATTGATGTTCAGAGGGGGGAAAAAAAATAAAATATTTATGAAAGATTTTTAAAAACCGAAAAAATTGCAATTTTTTAATGGGATATTTGCATTTTATGCATGTTTATTTTTTCCATTTTGATTGACTGGTTAGTTTTGAAATTTTAGTTTGCTACCAAACAAGCAAAAAAAACAAGACTATGTGTAATGACTGCTTACCATCATTTTACCAAATCATCAAACACATATATTATTCAAAATGGCTGCACCAGAGATGCTGATGTGTTCAACTGTCTGAAATAATCCAATTTACAAAGTAAGAAAAATAATAAAATTAATTTTGATGATATAAGAAACTTGACCAGAAATTACAAGTCTGGTTTGAGTTATTGATTATGACAAAAGAGAGGTGAAAGATACTGAAGGGACAATCAAACTCATAAGTCAAAAACATACTGACAACAACATGGTAAAAAACTAAAAACCACCAAAAGTCAAACAGCAGTCTACAAAACATAACATAGAAAACTACAGACATAGCAACACGAACCCAACAAAAAACACGGGTTTCAGAGTCTAGTGAATTCAGGGTAACATTTTCACAAGCATACACCAAAATATTGTGATTGGCTTACAATTCCTAAACAATGGGAATTTAACCAATGATGTGACGAAATTTTTCATTTGTGGTAGGACAATTGACCTTGACCTCATTGTCATAGATCTCTTTAAAAAAACCTTTATTTTTAAGACTTCAAAATAAAATCAATGGTCATATGCAGTAAAGCAGACAAGATTTCAGCCTGTGCACTTGTTTTGAATGTGAAAAATGCAACAGTATCACATTCGCAATAATAACAACTTGTATTTAAAGTTTCTGCAGTGATTTTCCTTCACAAATGTTTTGCAGTCGCTTTAATTAGATATTGCATTTTTACCAGTAATCAGTGATTTGCAATGATAAATGCTCACATTAATTTCTGAATTTAGTGATGAATTCAATGCAATTTTTCTTTATGAAAATTTCCCACTTTACATTATCATGATTATTAAGCACCTTTGTTGTATAACCTGAAAACCTATTCATTGTAGAGAAGGAATGTTAGCATTAGTCTTCCGTCCTGGATCAGGTTAAATTTTTTGTTGATTTTTTATTGTTTTGATTTGTGAAAAGCATGTCATTCTTTTCTAATTTAATCATGAATTGAGCAATTTTAAAACTAGATTTTTCAAATACCAATCAATAATTATTTGCCAGAGCAATGTTTGAATGGCAGAGTATGTGTTGAAGCTATCAATTGGCAAATAGAATTTTACTTATACCAAATGGTTTATATAAAAATATTAAAGAGAAGTTTCAAATAAACTTTTTGACTTTAAGTTGACATAGCAGGGAAACCAAGGTTTCGAGCAAATAATGCCCCAAAAAAATCAATCAGTGGGCGTGTCTATACCCTCTTAATCGTGCATCTGCATAAGTTTGTACATAAGAATGATTCAGCAGTTGAATGTCAGTAACTGGATGTGAATGAACCTGTTTTTGGGTGGTCCATTGCAGGATTTATGTGTGTTGGTCCTTGGGTGTAACAAATGTATAACTATATCAGCTGGACACACCGTCAGTATTAAAACACATGTGTCAGTTGGAGGTCGTAGTTAAAAAGAATCTTAAATTCTCTGGATAAATCTCATTCATCTTTTTTGTATTATTTAGGTGGGCAGATGAAAATTAAATTTGCCATAATTTGTGAAAACTTCTGGAAACATAACCAGAAATCAGAACAAAGCTCTGTTCTCCGAACAAAAATGGGGGTGGGCGGGGATGAGAATTTAGGAATTTCTTATCACCTTACCCTATTTGGTTTGATTTAAGCATTAATATAGATCATTATTATGATTTCCAACGGAGCTTAGAAATAGATGTATACAGTGGGATTTTTTCGCTGTGTTGAAGACCCATTGGTGGCCTTAGGCTGTTTTCTGCTTTTTTGTCGGGTTGTTGTCTCTTTGAGGCATTCCCCTATACCATTCTCAATTTTATACAGTGACTCTTTACAATTTGCTTGAATGAAGATAACATCATTCATAAATTTCTGATGACAAAGTTAATATTTATATCTTTATTGGGACAGTGGAACTGTTGTATATTAAAAGTGATAATTATTCATATTACTGAAGTCAATGGAGCTTAGTGCTAATTTTATCCCCATCTAAATTGCGTTTAATTTAGTGAGGAAACAATAACACCTTTCTTCAGCAATTGTTTGTAAAAACAGCCAATGTTTGCATCCCCTATTTTGGCCATGTGATTTATTTATGTTAAACCTGGTACATGTATCAGTAATAAGGCATCTGTGAAAAAAGTATATCCTTTAAAGGTTGAAACATCCACATTTAGGAAGGTGTGGGTTTTGGGGTTTCATTAAATTATCACAATGTTGAAGTAAAACATAAACAAGCAGACAATGGAATTTATTTACGTTAAAAACAGAGAATAGTCACATAGTCAGGTGTAAATACATCCACTTTTAGAAAGGTGTGGGTTATGGGGTTTCATTAATTGTGATGGTATGCAAAAAGAGGACAGTGGAAATTCTGATAGAAGTTACCTTTTCAGGTGTAAAAATAACCATAACCTGTTATGGTGAAAACATCCAGAGTCAAAAAAGCTGTTTCTGCTGTTTGAGGTGCAGCAGTGGCTGCATCAACATTTTGTTATGTTTGTGATTGGGTCAATATATAGGAAACCACTTATAGTAAATCTATAATTTTTTGTATGCAGTTGTAATAGTATGTATTGGAACATCTCATTTCCATTGAGATTATTTGGCCCTGTCCCCTAAGTCATGGTCTATTGACTTAATACAATTGCTTAGTTTAAATAATGAGGATTGTGATAAGGTCTGTTTAAGGGGAACCACTAATGGTAAGTCAATTATATTTGATATGCAGTTGTAAAAGCATTGGCACATCTCATTTCCATGGACATTATTTAGCCCTGTTCCTTCAGTTAGGGTTCATTGACCTTGACATTTTGCATATTTTACATAAAATTTCAAAATTACATACAAGCGAGACATATCTCTGTCTCAAATGTATGTTTTAAAAATATCCCACATTTTTGTAATACTTTTTGTGTATTCAAAATCATCAAAAGTATGTTTAGGGGCTTGAATACAATTTTACAGAGTAGTTGTGCTTTATTCATATTTGGATTTGCATATTATTTTTTTTCTCTCTAAATTGGGGGCAAATTTGAGGTAAAAACTATCACTAATTTTGAAAAATACTATTTGTGAATATAAAATCTCCAAAAATACAAGTAGGACTAAAACACAGTTTTGTACAGTTGTTCTTCATATGTGGAAGTGCATTTTGTTTTTAGGGGTAAAATTGGAAAAAACAAGTTGGGGTAAAAAAAATCAAAAATTTTGAGTAACATATTTGGTGTCTAAGTAGCTTTCTTGTGGCAAATGGTCTTTATTCAGTCTTTGTTGCATCTTTTTTTCCCAGATTTGTTGAAAGGAAAGAGAGTTCTTATAACTGGAGCATCAGCTGGCATAGGGGAACAGATGGCTTATCACTATGCAAAGATGGGAGCCAATGTAATTGTTACCGCTAGGAGAGAACAAAAGTTACAAGAGGTATTACTAAATTAGTTTCAACTCTGATTAAAAAGGCTGTTTGGTGTTTAAGTTGTTATCTAAGAACCCTAGGGAAAGTCGACACTCTATTGAAATACAACTCCTGTTAACCCCCTCCCCCACCCCCCTACCGCTTCGCCAGCTTCAAAAGCAGGTCCTGTTACCACTCAACACTCTCCCTTTGAAAGAACTTAGGTTGAATTTTGAATACTCAGCCATCAAATACAATTGACACATTACAGTTCCTAATATAACAAATGTTTGTTGAATGCTTACAAGAAATCCATCTTATGAAAATTTGTAAAGTAATGGACCCTAGAAAGTAGCTGTTTTTTCATCTTTTATTGAAATCTGTACATTTGTTATTAGAAAAACTTCCAAGGGCAGATAACTTATCCTGGGATTGTTAACATAAGAAAATATCATATTAAAAAAACTTTACATAACATTTCGGATATATATGCCCAGTTAGATTAAGCTTACCATTAAGATGATCAAACATAATTGTCTTATATATTAAACAAACAAACAAGTGAATATCAAACACATAGAATTTATGTAGTTTTATCGGTAAAATGTAAAGATATTTATGCTGGTGAGCTTTTTTACCTGTAAATATAATAAATGAACCATTGTTACAAGGGAGATAATCATTATTGCAGGCAGTGGAATAACAAATTATAGAGTGAAAGTAAGACAAACATGAATATAGAAGAAAAAGAATAAAGTAACTTTGGTATTAGATACAACAAAATAGTACCACATTAGAACTGTTTAACTTGTATGCTGGAGTCAGTGTTGCTGGTTTTCATACACGAAAAAAAAGCTAGATAATATGGCACTAATTTAGAAATAAAGAGATATGTGGTATGATTACCAATGAAACAAATATCCATCAGAGTTTAAATAAAGTGAATGAAAGCAATTATAGGCAACCGCACAGCCTTCAACAATGAGAAATACCCAAACTGTATAGTTTTCTATAAAAGGCCCCAACATATAAAGTGTGAAACAATTCAACCAAGAAAATGAACGGGCTAATTTATAACAATAATTTACGAAAAAAACAAATATGAAAAACATGAACCAACGACAACCACTGAACAAGAGGCTTTTGACTTGGGACAGGCACATAAAGAATGTGGTGGGGTCAAGAATAGTTATAAAACTGATCCAAAGTACTTTCTTTGCTGATGAAAAAAGTCTGAATATTATAGTGCCTAAGCTTTTACAAAGCTGTGAGAATTTGATGACTTAAATTGATACATAGAGATCCTTCTATTCAAAATTCTCAATGGGGTGAATTAAGTTAAAATTTGAGAAAATCTGATGAAGCATATATTTCTTAGACAATACAATTTACTTGAGGCTGAATGAGTGGAGGTTGTTTATGCCAGCACAGGTGTGGTAATTCATGATAGATGTAAATTGTTTACTGTTCTTTCCATAAATTTAATATGTTTCTTTTCAGGTAGTTGCTCGATGCAAAGAATTGGGCCGACCAGATGGAATTTACCATTATATCTCAGCTGATATGAGTAACCTTACATCTACAGAACTAGTCATTAGGGTATACTATAGTGACTAAAGCTTTATATTTTTGCTTAAATGTACACAGAATTTTTGCCATCACCACTTCAATTGTATGGGTAGTAGGGGAGATAACTCTAAGAAGTTTGATATCTAATATATGATAGTCGATAATATAAGTTATATGGTTTGCTGCTGACCCCTATGGATCCACAGAGGTTTAGTAAAATGCATAGGGGTTGAGGCCAAAGGATTTTACTAACCCTCTATGGATCTATAGGAGAAGTGAACCATATAATGAATATATCGCACACAGGACTTTCCTACCAAATTTTGTATTTAATAAATAATGAAATAAAATGACCTTAATAAATGAAGTCACCATTAAATAGACATTATGATACCCATATAAAATCTACCATGTGACTGCATTAAACCAATCACAACGTCACCTGATAACATTGATTGATGTCCTTGTTGACATCCTTATAATATTGAAGTTAGACAAAAAAACAAAACATTTTCTTAAGAAGAGAAATGAGGTTCATCATAAGTGTTTTAAAGGGGGGGAGTGCACTGATGCACAGGGAATATTGAACGATGAACAAAAAAAATAAAAACTTGCACATTGAATTTTCACCAAAATTAAAATTGAAAACACATTGCATGAAACAAAAACCCTTTACCACTGTCTTGTATAAAAGTAGAATTTCAAATTGATTCAGAAGTTAATGTAAAATGTGTGTTAGCTTGCTGAAGACTTTTCAAAAGCAGACAGTATTTTGAATTTTGTGTAATTGTGGTTTTTTTTAAAATTTCTCTATGTAAGTAAGAATTGTGATGTTTTGATAGATTAAGAAAATTCTTATACTCTTCTAAGTATGGGTTAAAGGTCATTGAGGCATGAACGTATCAAACATGTTTACCAAAAGTTATCCAAAGGTTACCAAGCAAAATATTTATAGAAACAATAAACCACCATGCCTCCATAATTTCAACAGAGATGTTATATCTGATGTTTAAATTCAAATTCTTAATAAAAAATAATATAGGATTAAATAGGGGCTAATAATAATATAATTTTGAATATATAGGAAAAGGAGCAGACAATACAAAAGGCACAATAAAAATTCATAAGTCCAGTGTCTTCCCTAGAAAATTTTTCATGCATGATTGGTCCATGGTGAATTTGCAACGTGGCGCGCGACGTTTCTTTTTCAGAATTAGTTACACTACATAATTTATATGTTTAAAGCCATATACCAAGCTAATTGTTTTATTATAGGTACAGCAATTCGTACAAGTCATGGAACTTTAAAGTATTTATTACAGATGAGAGGAATTAATGAAAGACCTTATAAACAATAATAAAAATAATCCAGTCTGCAATAGTTATTTACAAATTAATGTCATGTACACATTATTTTGTTGATTACTTCCTCTGTTTCAACTTTCCAAAGGTCACCACACATTTTTCAAAATCAAAATCTTCCTCCTTTGGTCCTTCAATTGATATATATGCATTCTTTTTGGCATAATCTGTTTCTCAAAGGTGTTTTAACTCTGTTTAAACATGAAAAACACCTTAAATTACAATCAGCTGTTGAAACTGGCAAAACAAGACCGACAGAGGACAAGGATACAAAGTTCCAAGACTGGCAACTTTGTACATTGTCTGCCTAAATGTCATGTCTTTACATTCTTTCACTAACTGTGTCCTCAGTTTGCCGATAGAATGGTTTCAGCATCAACAGCAAGTTGTTAAATAAAACTTTGAATGTCATCATTGCTTCACAGAGATTTTACAGGAAAAAATAAAAAAAAAGTTTATTTGCGTTAATTACAACCTGACATACAGACATGCGGATGACATAACATGATAATTTTGGTAATTACCTGGTTGGAAGCTAAGCTGATATTTTATTTCATGACAATTAACTATTTTTTTTAAATACATCCCTGTCTGATTTATTTATAACGCTTCATATAAATTGTAAAAATCCTATCTTGCCGAAGTAAAAGAAACTTAGCCCCACTTGTGTAAATAACGGCAACTGAATCCGCTACACTAAGCTTGAATTGTGACCCAATTTGAAATAAATATAGAAAAACACAAGTTTATTAAAAACAATATTTCCGTAAATAACTATGTTTTGAAAGTTTTTCAATCAAATCTTTAAAATATTTCATAAGACACGTCTTTTTCTCGGCCCGGTGATGTGTATTCTTTGATATAATCAATCAACCGCGACTAATCTAAAAATAACTGATTGTTGTGACCAATCAAAAAATAATTCATCGATGTAAATATAGCTGATGAAAAAACTGCAAAACTTTATTAAAAAAAAAGTTTTTCCATTCTGGGTGAAATTACATTTGTTTTAATTTTATAATACCAGAGATAATACCAAATTTTAAATTTCTACTTTTTAAAGATAGCAGTAAAATAACGATGTCAAACACCCGTTTTAAGGTGAAATTTATACTGGAAAAGGTTAAACTTTTTATTTAACTGATCAAGAAGGTTGTAAAATCCCGGCACGCGCGACGTGATGCATCCAATTATCAGTCGTATGAGTTTAAAACACCTGTGGAGTGTTGTCACTTGTCACTTGTCACTTGTCACTTGTCACTTCACTTTCAAAATATCGATAATAAAATAATTTACACGGTTATAATTTTCACACATAGCGGGATGCATTGCGGCAATGATGAAAGCATGGCGGTCGAAATTTAAGCGTAGCGGTACTGCAATGCTTGAATAGCCTAGGGAAAACACTGAAGTCTAAGAAAAACTAAACACCATAGCAAGAAATAGAATAGGACAAAAGAATAACTGCAGTATACAAAATACTTATAGAAAACTAAAGACTAAGCAACTCAAACCCCACCAAAATCCAGGGTTATCTCAGATGTTTTGGAATGGTAAACAAATCCTGTTCAGCATGTGGAACCTGTCATGTGCTCAGAACAGGTACAAATGTGATGATAAGTCTCATTAGATAAACAAACTAACTTCTACCAAATAAGTCATTAGTATATTCTATAATGCAAAATGCAATATACTGTTTCTTCAAATTAAAAAAAAAAAAATTATTAAAAGAAACCTTTTGTTAACTGTATGTCATCATTCTAATATGATATTTTTGTTTGTTTTAGGAAGCCCATGCCAAGTTGGGAGGAATTGATTATTTAGTATTAAATCATATCATTGTGATACCTTTAGGAATGTGGAGAGGAACTGTTGATAACCTCACGCGAATGGATAAAATTGTGGATGTTAATTATAAATCTTACGTACATCTCACGTCTCATGCGTTACCTCTATTGGAAGAATCTCGTGGTAGTATTGTAGTGGTGTCTTCCTTAGCAGGTTTGTTATAAATCATAAGAAAACAAGAATGTGTCCATAGTACATGTATGCCCCACTCGCACTATCATTTTCTATGTTCAGTGGACCATGAAATTGGGATCAAAACTCATTTGGCATTTAAATTAGAAAGATCATTTCATAGGGAACATGTGTACTAAGTTTCAAGTTGATTGGACTTCAACTTCATCAAAAACTACTCTCATTCTAACAAAAAATTCTCTGAAACTGACATTAAGATGCTAGATTTCTTGATTGACAACATATATTTGTTATGTTTGGAGGACGTGTTTTTCAACAAACAATCAGCATTCCCATGAAAGTGGGGGTATACTGTTTTACCTCTGTCTGTCCGTCTGTTCATCTGTCCATCCATCCGTCTATCCATCTGTCAGTCAGTCCATTGGTACCATGAATATTTTTCGTCGCATCTTTCCCAGGAAGTACATCATAAGGATTTCTGAAATTTGGTTTCAGGGTTTATATAAGTCAGCTATACTGTGTGATGAGTTTTCAGATTTATCACTCAACAACTTCCTGTTTAACGAACACATATTTTTACACTGTTAAAATTATCCATATTTGGGCGGGGGTATCATCAGTGAGCAGTAGCTCGCAGTTTCACTTGTTTATATTATTTTGTCTTTGGTATAATGCAGAGTGAACAAAGTATCTAGTAATAAAAATATCAGCTGCACACAAAGACCAATCGGGATTAGCCATACTCTTAATTCTGAATAACATGTTATCTTCGTAAAATGGATGCGCCCATAAAATCTAATGGTTTATTGTAACCTACAGGTAAAGTAGCTCATCCATTTTCAGGTGTTTATTCATTATTCATCTACAAAGTTTGGATTATTTCCCTTGTCACAATGTTTGAATTATTATATTTACAGGTAAAGTAGCTTAGCCATTTTCTGGGGTTTATTCCTTTACAAAGTTTGAATTATCTCCCTTGTCACAATGTTTGATTACTATATTTACAGGTAAAGTAGCTTAGCCATTTTCTGGTGTTTATTCCTCTACAAAGTTTGGATTATTTCTCTTGTCACAATGTTTGATTATTATATTTACAGGTAAAGTAGCTCAGCCATTTACAGGTCTTCATTCCTCTACAAAGTTTGAATTATCTCCCTTGTCACAATATTTGAATTATTATATTTACAGGTAAAGTAGCTCAGCCATTTTCTGGTGTTTATTCCTCTACAAAGTTTGATTATTTCCCTTGTCACAATGTTTGAATTATTGTATCTTTACAGGTAAAGTAGCCCAGCCATTTTCAGGTGTTTATTCCTCTACAAAGTTTGCATTAGATGGATTTTTTGGGAGTATTCGACAAGAATTTGCTTTAAGGAACTGTGATGTGTCTATTACATTGTGTGTTATAGGCTTAGTAGGTAAGTCAAATATGACTTTATCATTTTCATGCTAACTATGCACTGTTAATTCATTATTATTTGTGGATTAAACATAGTTTTCTAGAGGTTATCTAGATGTAAACTGGGGCAATTATCTCACAAACTGAATAAAAGTCAAGAGGACTGTATGTAAAGGATGTGAGTCAGGGGCGCAGTTTACACATCAATAACCTTTAGAAATACTATCATTTTGTAATTAAGAAGTGAGCCGCCATATGGAATTGGTAAATGTTCTACTGTTGCAATAAAATCGAAAATGAAACAACACCTACCTCAAAACATCCGTTTTAATGAGATTTTATCCGAATTTGAAGCGTACAAGTAACGGAATAACCTTCAGCTTGAGAGTTTTCATTGGTATGATGCCATGTTTTGCTGTGACTTTAATGTGACAATATCATTCATGAAATTTTGCGGTATTTTTTTTTTATATTAATTTTATGCATTTTCCTAGCTCTAATACGTATTAATCTGTTTTTCAAATACTTTTAAGGAACCTCTCACTTATGTATGGTGTATCGAATGCTTTGAAGGTGTTATAAAACTACAGATATGAGATCTTAGAATTTGTTTTTTCCATTTATCAGTTTTAAATTTGATGTTTTCCCGTATTTCTTTCATTTTTGTTTATTTACAGGTACAGAAAGTGCTATATCAGAATTAAGAAATTTTGGACAACATTTTTTACTAAAATACATAAAAGCAGCAGAACCTCCGGATGCAGCCTATGCAATCATTAGAGGTGGAGCTTTACGAGCTCGAGAGATATATTTTCCTTATATGGAAACAAAAATATTGACAATGTTACGAGATTTGTTGCCAAGGACAGTGGACTACATAAACAGATGGGTATACACGACAAGTTGACAATGTGTTCTATATTGAATTGTTTTCTAGTCAAATGTACTTGTTAATGCTTGCAATGTGAATTTTTGTTCATCACTGCAGTGAAGAGTCCATCCCAAAGATTTGAAATCCTCTATACTCATAGCAATAGAAAATAGAGTTTTAGAGAAAATTCAAGATAAATAATAATCTCCCTTGACTATGTTACCTAGTGGTGACTATTTAATTTTTTAGCTTTTAGTCAATAGAGCTATATTTTTCTTTTCTTGCACAGGTTACATAGACTAGAACTGATTTTGAATATCTAAATGTTTTTTTCATTTGAGATTACAGTTTTACTCAGGTGACTTGACTCAGTCTTAAAATGTTATAAAATTAAACAATAGCTCATATTCTACTGATAAATTTCTGGGTTTCAGAAAAAATTAGGTCTGTTTTCTGAATTCCAGAAAGTTTTAATTTTACCTTTAATGACATGAAATGAAAATATAGTGCAATGTTTTAAATAATAATTAATAATTTATATACCTTCTGCTATTAGGATTAGAGAAAAAAAAATTTAAAAGATAGATTATGGGCCTTATAGATTTTATTGTCTTAGTCATTTCTGTTGTTTGCATTTAATATTTATTTTGAAGATGTTAGAAAGTCTTGCTAGTCCCTAAGTTTTTGAATGCATCTTAACTTTCATTTCACTCCCCTTGCCCAATTTGTCTTCTGTCGCTTATTTTATTGTCTTAAACCAACTTATTTTTTACAAAAGTGAGTCCACAAAATCACATGTATAGCACGTACAACATTATTATTTACCGCTCCAGCAATGATTTTTATATTGTAAAATTAAGTTAAAAATTGTTTTGTTGAACAGACTAAAATAATATGTTTTTATAAAAAATACAGCTTTTTTCTGCTATGCAACTGTTATGTATTCAGTATTTTTTGTGTTTTGTGTTTTGTTGGAAGGCTGTTCTGTGCTTAAGTAAAAATCATCCAAAGAACAATAACGCCTAATTTTGTGTTATTTTCTTCCTAATTGATAATGCTTATCTAATTTATAACTGCTTAGGCCAAATATTTAAAATGTGTTGATTGTTTATATATAATAAAAAGTAATGCTAAGAATAAGAAATACTGTGTAAACATTAATATCTTCCTATTACAAATTAATAAATGTACATGGGTAGAGGTAGACCTAAAATGTATAATCTTGATAAAATTTGAGTTACTTCAATATGAGCACACATTGAATACACAAAGTTAAATACTCTTGAAATATAGCTATTTGTTATTTTTCAAATCAACAGGGTATTTAAGCATTGTCATATAATTAATCTACAGAGTTATCCATCTTTGGTTATGTTTTATGGCTGAAATTTTTTTCATGGAGAGAATTGAGAAATGATAAAAAAAAAATTATTTTATGGGAGAACAAAGATGATAGACGTGTCCTCAGTCAATGTATTGGCCTTATATTGTTTTATATTTCATTTGTTGTATGTATGAGGGTCTGTATGGGGTTTACAGAATAGAGAATAATGGAAAAAAAAGTACAGAATAAATGGCAAAAAAATAAAGAATAGATAGAAAAAAGGCCCCCAAAAAATTATAGAGAATAATGTGCTAAAAAAATTAAGAATGGTCTAAAAAATTAGAACCCCCTATCCAGACCCATATTTATGAAACCAAAGATATTTTTTTTAGGCTGATCAATGTATCAGTTATGATACATTGTATTCTCTGTTTAAATTTTGAGAAAATAATATTGTCTAAGTCACCCGTAACAAATTTTTTGTTTGATGTTGCCTACCCGTGCTTTGTAGGGTTGGATAGGTAGGTAGGGATTTTTTTTTATTTTGGCCAACAACATAAGTTGCATGTTTTAGATAAGAAAATGACGTTAGAGCATAAAACGATTTGTGTCGTAAAATTTTTTTGGTATTCTGCATTTTGATGGGTAGGCAGGCTACATCAAACCATTTTAATTTTCTTTTTGGCCCTATGTATTTTATATACAAGTTTGTAGCCAGTGGTAAGGAGTAACCCGCTTCCCTCTTGAAAATAAAAAAAATGACTATTAAAGTCGAGATTCATGTTAAAGGTTGACTAAAATTCAGAGCTTCATGACCCAACATAACCCTCCTCAAAGACATTCTGGCTACATGCCTGATATAAAAACATTTTTCATTGGTCTATGGGTTTTTTTTGTTTTATAAAAACAGATTTTTTGTATGGGATTGTTTTAATCATAGATTAAAATCATTCAGAAAATAAAAAGCATTCATTTAATCTACACTCAACCAGCAGTTATCTCTTATGATTAAATTATAATAAAAACTGAATTGGATAAATGTATTTTTTTGGAACGGCTCTTTTTAACATATAGTAAGGATAAGGAATCAGGCAATTTGTTTAATAAGACTATACTTATACACCCAACCTAGAAGTCATCTTGTCTGTCTGCCAGCCAAACATATTTTTATCAAACTTTTCTCAGGAAAGGTGATATGTAATGTAAGGAGTTCCTGTAATGAGAGTTTTGGTGGAGTTTACAGAATAGAGAATAATGGACAAAAAATGAAGAAAAAAAAGAATAGATAATAGATGGTCAAATATTTTTGAATACAGAAATGAAGACCCACCCATCGAGACCCTCTTTATTGAACTCAACTATATATATATGCGTTCTTCAAATTCCATTCACAAAATAATGTAATACTGCTATAGAACACCTTAAATTTTCCAAAAGATATTTATTGTATTGAAATTTTATATTTTTGTAAATGAATATTTTAACCTGCAATACTATTAGAGTAAACTTTTTGTCCGCTAGTCCAAACCACAAATACTATTTTGTTCTTGTTCTTTAGTTTGCTTTAGAAACATCAGGCATTTTTTTTTTGTATTTTATTGTATGTTCATTTCTGCAGATTGTCTGGTTAAATTTATTGGGAAATATTTTTGCATTTTAATGTTAATTTTTTTGAATTGCCTCGGTTAAAGTTTACAGGGCTTCAAAGAACATAAAAATAAGATCATATGTTTTTGATTACATTGTATATTGTAATTAATCATTTTGTTGAGAGAAAAATTCAGATATCAAATTAAACTGGATTGTCAGTGTATAAATTAACCTTACAGCTTGTAATGTCATGTAGCTTTAGTGTGATATGAGCTACCTCGGATCGACCTTATGCAAATGAATATCAATACATTTGTTAACCTATTTCAGGTTGAAAAAATCTCTACAGAACGTCTGGAACTGTTTGCAAATTGAGTTGTTATAAGAACCCTACAACACAGGCACAAATTCATCTATTATTTGGTATTTGAATGTTGCAAAATCAAATCAAAGTCTTATTCATGTACATTTACACATAATTTAATTTTGGATGTAACGCGTCTTCTGATTGGCTGACGTTGTTTTGTTTATCAGCTCATAGACATAATTTTGTCATGTGACCATGACGTCATCAACGTTTTTTCATGATTTACTCCGGTTTAAAATGGATTTTAGAATTAAATTATAAGAAATGACTGTAATATTTTTTCTGTCTTTTCGAAATAACATAAAAAATGTGGTGCACACTTTACAATAACCCGCTACGCGTGTTATTCAGTGTGCACCACATTTTTTATGTTATTTCTTCATAGACAGAAAAAATATTACAGTCATTCCTTAATTAAAGAAGGTCAATTTCTATCCGATGCAGCTCATATGATATCTATTATAATTATTATTTTATAATTAACTAAATAGAAAAAAAATGACAATTATAAAAACAAAGTTTTTTAAGATAACTTGGTGCTAATAATCTTGATTATTGCTGTTATTCAAATTTGATTTTTAAACAAGCTGTTGAAAACAACCAGCAAATATTGTCTGATAACAAAACTTAGAAAACTTTACGAACAAGTTTTTTTCTTAAATTATGATTACATTTTACGTTTGTATAATATGGATCTCCTTAATTACTTTGACAATAGGATGAAAATTCTTAAGGTATCTGAATTGTAGTTGACTACAATTATTAAAATGGAAAAAATGTTATCATACATTGCAATATCATGACTTGGAAAAAAACTTTAAAATCTTAACAAGCATTTTTTATTATAAAAAAAATGGAAGAATTTATAAATGTTGTATAGTTTTATCTACTCAGAAACATTCATTCTATCTAAAATGGTAAAGAAATGGAAATTGTTTGATTTGGAAAAAAACCAAATTGACCACCATTTTCAGTATGATCTGGATACCTTAAGATGATTATAGCTAACGAAATCCTTACAGTTAGAGACCCATACTTTGTAGAGAGTTTAATACTGTAAACGTGGGAATTTCTTTGTGGAGGCTATTTTTCACTCGATGTTCAGTCCCATGAAAAATCCCCAATCAGAACTCTGTAAATTCAGAAATTATTGAGATTATTTTGTTAATGCAAAAAACACAACAGTATCATGTTTGCAGTAATATAAACTTGCATTCAGAATTTCATTAGTTTTTATCCTTCATAAATATTGGAAATTGCATTAATTATCTCATATTTTTATCAGTTATAATTGATGTGCAATAATAAATGCATGCATAATTTCTAAATTTACAGTAGATCGTACAAAATTACAAAATCGATGTGAAGGGTACATTTATAGTTTCATGCAGAAAATTAAAACCCATGCAAAACGTTTTTGCTTGAAAATTGTGAAAATAACAACCCTAGAAAATCTCCACGTTTACTGTATATGTTTCTTTGTTTTAATGTTTGCATGACTACCTCCTATTTATATCATTGTTGAACATTTTTATAAAATAAAATACTCATAATACTTTTGTTGTTTGTAAACTGCCAATATAGAATCATTTGCCACTGGCCATTATACAAACACCTATCAACCAAAGAAGAATCTGTGTATAAATGTGTTGTCCAGGAATGTTTTCAAACATCAATCAGCCAATGAAGAATCTGTGTATAAATGTGTTGTCCAGGAATGTTTTCAAACATCAATCAGCCAATGAAGAATCTGTGTATAAATGTGTTGTCCAGGAATGTTTTCAAACATCAATCAGCCAATGAAGAATCTGTGTATAAATGTGTTGTCCAGGAATGTTTTCAAACATCAATCAGCCAATGAAGAATCTGTGTATAAATGTGTTGTCCAGGAATGTTTTCAAACATCAATTAGCCAATGAAGAATCTGTGTATAAATGTGTTGTCCAAGAATGTTTTGTGTATAAATGTGTTGTCCAGGAATGTTTTGTGTATAAATGTGTTGTCCAGGAATGTTTTGTGTATAAATGTGTTGTCCAGGAATGATTTGTGTATAAATGTGTTGTCCAGGAATGTTTTGGTTGCTATTCATTCATTTGTGTTTGGACAAAACTTAGTTGAAAACCATAGCTAGACATAACTGACATCCGTGACATAATATGAAGGAACTTCGTGGCCTAGTGTCTAAGAAGTTTATTTACAGTAATCACTAGCCTGTCAACTGTAATGATGGGAGTTGAAACCCTGCTCTTTGCAAAATGGATACACTCCAATCTTAATAGTCTAGAATTGCCAGTTTTCCTGCCAAAGGTCAATTGTTCTCTCTGGTCACTCCTTCTTGATAATAAAAACTGGCCACCGAGAGTGCTGAAAGTTGAGGTAAACACTTACTCTTCCAGAGCACATGCGATCATCCCAGATGTTTGATGGTGTTTGAGTAGCTCAGCATTACGTTTTCTATGTTATGTTGTGTTTTGTGAATTTGTCATTTCATCATCTTTTGTATTTTGCCATTGCATTGTCTGTTTATCTCAAATGATGAGATTACAAATGTCCTCATGGTATCTTCGGCCCCACATAAGGACACAGTGGATATTTTTTTTTTTAAGTTTGAGAATCTTTTAATTTTAAGGTGTCAATATCAAAAATAGAATTTTATTACAAATGCACTGCAGGCTTAGACAGATTAAACAATACGTTCAAATTTGTTTCATAAATCAGAGAGACAAAACTGGTATACAAAAATGTCCTGTCTTAGAAAAGGCAACTCATTATTTGATTCACCAATCTTGATTCCAGTCAATGTTGAATATAAAACTCTGTTAGGAATTGCATTTTGCCTATTCAAGAAGGATCCATGCCAACTCATACCATTGCCAGCTCGTCCTCAACCAACTTGTTCCTGATTTTACTAACTTGTACTTTTACCAACTCGTACTTCTATCAATATATAGTGATATAAATATGCAGGATAGAAGTTACTTTGTATCAGAGACATATTTGTATTATATGTCTCTGTTTGTATCATATAAAATTAGGAAAAAAACCTAGAAAAATCGATATTTATATTGAATTTATAATTATAAAATATACTTATTATAGAGGGCCATTTTACAGTTGACCTAAAAGTGATTCAATTCTGGTTATTTGAGTATATTGAGAAGTTAACAAATTATATAGATATAAGAAGATGTGGTATGAGTGCCAATGAGACAACTCTCCATCCAAGTAAAAATTTATAAAAGTAAACCATACATACATTTTGGAATAAATGCAGCATATTGAATATAAAAGACATTTCATTGACTCACAGGTATACTTTTACAATTACTGTTTTCACGTACAAAAAAATATGGTTTTTAAGTGTGACATTTTAAATTCAGTAAAATGTATTGAATGTTTTGTTATTACCAGTTAAGTATGTTGATATATATGTAAAACATTAGATTTATTTAGTTCTTGTAGAAGCTTTATGATTTCAAAAAGATGGAGAAGTCATCAGAGATAAACTAAGAAAACATTTCTTTAACATACACTCAACGAAAACATCAGTCAAAACATAAATTTTCCAAAATTCTCTTCAGATTTCAAACTAGATTTAAGACATCCTGTGTGTTAAGAAACATTTTTTGTGTTTACCACTAGATAAATGACGTTCAAACTATTTATGTCTCAAACAAGATCAATTCTAGAATACAAATTAACCACTAAGTGTACGATTTATCTAAATAAATGATAAATAACAATGCTACAAAAATGGGTACTAGTTGAGTAAAAGTACGAGTTGGCAAAGGTACGAATTGCGTGTTCGCTTTAAGAACGGATAGTACTAAATGAAAAAACAAAAGCAGAATGATACTTAGAAGGTACTTACCAAAGTGTACTGAGGTTAAAAAGTGTTTAATTATTCTGATTCGATCGTTTTCTTGAAAACCAATTGGAACAACATTTGCTAGATATGTTCCATATTCTTTCATTGCTTCATTGTTTGGAATTTGCATCAATATTGAGAAATTCTCAATCTTTGGAAATAGATTAAAAATTAAAAGTACCATTTTGGAAATAATATCTGAGCAATGAGACAGGTTCTATGTTGTAAGAGACAACAGTAGTTTACGTTTATTTAAATCGCATAAACATATTCAGTAGATTTCAATCAAGGGAAAATTCAAACAAAAATGAGTGAATCACATCAACTCTAAAAAGAGTGACATCGAATGAACCAACCGTCAGTCATTAGTTATCTAGGTTGTGCTTTGTATACTACTGTGGATTCATTTATTTTCGTGGGTATCAATTTTCGTGGATTGAGGAAACCTGTATTTTCGTGGATATTTGATTTCGTGGTTTTGCCAATCTCTGCATACAAAGCCAGATTAACATTTGTAATTCGTTTAACATTTGAATTCGTGGTTCACCTGTACCCACGAAACCCACGAAAATTGGTATCCAACGAATAATAATGAATCCACAGTAGTATAAAACCGTTTATATCTGGAAGGATTATTTTAATGTTTGTTGACTACCCATAGTTCTGATTATCAATAAAGATGTAAAGGAAATTAGTTCTGACTGATACAAACGACGCAGTGGGAAAAGTGACTTTTGGAACCCGAGGGTATCACCAGCCTAGCAGTCGTCACTTCTGTGTTGACATGAATGATCATTGACATGGTTGATATGGTTATAATTTTGATTGAACTGGTTACAAAACTTTGATTTTTGTTTCAAAATCCTTAGGATGTTCTAACCAGGAATATATTACCTTAGCTGTATTTGGCAAAACCTTTCGGTAGTTTTGGTTCCAAATTCTCTTCAACACCGTATTTTATTTTGGTCTTTTTCACCTTATTGATGATTCGAGCGTCATTGATGAGTCTTTTTTCAGACGAAACGCGCGTTTGGCGTATGAAATTTTAATCCTGGTTTCTATTATGAGTTTATTAAAAAGAGCTGAGTATGAGGAAGGCTACTGAGGACTTACACTATATATTTCATTTATTCATCTTGACCTGACAAACAAGCAAATATATGGTGGATAGTTGTCTCATTGGCAATCATACCTCATCTCTTTATTTTTATATTGAGTGTTGGTGATCTTGGTCATTCATCTTGTCATGACAAACAAGATTTGATTTGATTTTTGGTGTTTTAACGCCACTTTTAAGCACCGCTTTTGGGCTATTTCGTGGCGGCCAGTTTTATTGGTGGAGGAAGCCGGAGCGCCCGGAGAAAACCACCGACCTTCGATAGGAAAACTGACAATCCTAGTCAATTAAGATTGGAGTCGAGTGCACCCGCACGAGCGGGGTTCGAACTCACAACCTCAGTGTTGACTGGCTAGTGATTACAGTAGTAACTACTTAGACCACTCGGCCACCGAGGCCCCTGACAAACAAGAAAATATATGGTTGAGTGTTGGTGATCCCAATTATTTGCAAGATATAATAACATTTGCAAATGGTAGGGGGGAGGAATGACTTCTCAGGACCTATCCTATATTTCATTTAATTCAACTTGACATAAAACACAAGAAAATATATGGTTGAGTGTTGGGGATCTCAATTATTTGCAAGATATAATAACATTTGCAAATGGTAGGGGGGAGGAATGACTTCTCAGGACCTATCCTATATTTCATTTAATTCAACTTGACATAAAACACAAGAAAATATATGGTTGAGTGTTGGGGATCTCAATCATTTTCAAGATATTAAAACATTATTACCAAGGAGGATATCCTGGATAACCATAGGTTTGTTCTATGTTCCTTTGGAATTTCAACCAAAGATGAAGAACTGGATCTTCCTTCACTGTATTGGATACCTAAACACTGGGTCTCCCAAGTGCTCCACGAAACCTCTTTCTAAATTATTAACATCAATTTTTATTAGCATCAAAGCCGGGCTTCAAAGTTATTGCAAAACTACCTATTCTAGAGGTGGCGTAAATCAGATGTGGATACTAAAAAATTCCAAAGATCTTTTTGAGTACATACAATCTAAGACTCTCTCATCTTGTAATAGTATTAAAAAATTTGACTTTTCTACACTTTACACAAGTATTCCCCATTCCAAACTAAAAGACAGATTGAAAGAATTGGTCCTGCTTTGTTTCATAAAAAAAGAACGGCCTACGTGGATACAAGTTTCTTGTCTTAGGGAGGAATAAATCACTTTGTAAAAAATCACTCTGAGTCCAACAAATAATTCTCTGAAACTGACATCATCAAGATGCTTGATTTCTTGATTGACAACATATTTGCTACGTTTGGAGGTCGTGTTTTTCAACAAACAATCGGCATTCCCATGGAACCCAACTTCCTGTTCTTGCCGACTTGTTCCTTTATTCATATGAGGCTAACTTCGTACAGGAACTTCTTAGGAAGAAAGAAAAAAAGTTAGCAGTATCCTTTAACTTCACTTTCCGCTATATAGATGATGTTCTCTCACTAAATAATTCAAAATTTGGTGACTATGTTGAACGCATCTATCCCATCGAACTTAAGATAAAGGATACAGCAGATACAGTTAAGTCTGCCTCATATCTTGACTTACATTTAGAAATTGACAATGATGGTCGGCTGAAAACAAAACTTTATGCCAAAAGAGATGATTTCAGCTTCCCAATTGTGAACTTTTCATTTCTATGTAGCAACATTTCAGCAGCGCCTGCATACGGAGAACATATCTCCCAGTTGATACAATATTCCAGGGCTTGTATTTCCTATCATGATTTCCTTGATAGAGGGTTGCTGCTGACAGGGAAGCTATTAACCCAAGAGTTGCAAGTGGTGAAGTTGAAATCGTCCCTTTGTAAATGTTACGGGCGCCGTCACGAGTTGGTTAACCGTTATGAAATATCCGTTTCACAGATGACAATTGTCGTAACTACAATCACCTTTTCCCCAAATGTGACCTACCGAATTACTCTAATCACCGGGTTTGTACTAACACGAGCAACACGACGGGTGCCACATTTGGAGCAGTATGCTTACCTTTCCGGAGCACCTGAGATCAACCTCAGTTTTTGGTGGGGTTCGTGTTGCTCAGTCCTTGGATTTCTATGTTGTGTTTGTGTACTTTGTTTGTCTGTTTGTCTTTTTCTTTTTTTTTAGCCATGGCGTTGTTAGTTTATTTTCGACTTATGAGTTTGAATGTCCCGTTGGTATCATTCGCCTCTCTTTTGCAAATAGCAGGGGGTGGGGATGACCACTTGAGACCTATCCTATATTTTATTTAATTCATCTTGACATGACAAACAAGAAAATATGTGGTTGAGTGTTGGTGATCTCAATTATTTTCAAGATATTATAACATTTGCAAATGGCCGGGGTGGGGATGACCACTGGTGATTTATCCTATATTTCATTATCATCTTTACATGACAAACCAAACAATATATGGTTTAGGGGTAGGGATCTCAACATTTTGCGTAGTATCTTAATTTTCTAAAAATGACTACCGGAGACTCACCTGTATATTATTCAATGCATTTTGATATGTCAAACATAAAAAATGATGTTAGGTATGATCTTTTGACTCTCAAATTATAGTAACGCATATGGTCACATGGTCACTACTGAAGAGCACGCGTCTGTATCACTTATTGTTCTCAAGTTAAAATAATTTAAACAAGAAAATCAAATTTTCCCAATATGTTTTACTGTAGACCACACCCCTTTTGATCCTCCCAAATATATACATCCAATCTGCATTTTTTTCCCTTTCGAATCAAAAAAATATTCGACATGCAGTTTCTGAGTATTGCTGCGGACAAGTTCAGGTGCGAGAAACCACGAAGAAGAACAAAAACACAAGTCTTTCAAACTTCGTTTTTGGAGACAAAATAACACAATAGCAACAATGCTCGGAGTATCTGAGTAAATTTTAGTCTAATAAATGAATGTTATCTTTTAATATAAAAAATGATCAGTAAATGTCTGAATACAAAAAGTCATATATCGTAGTTTTACACACAATCAACAAATTCATAGGGGATCCGTTTTTTATGTCAAATGTTTTGTAATACTTATTTCAATTGTTTATTATGATACAGCCTGCTATAAAAAAAAATTGTTTTTTAAATTAGATAATCATTCTGCCTATGACAATAGTATTCAAACTATTTTCTAAGGACTTAAAAGATTGATTGCAATAATTAAAAGAAAACAAAATAAAAGTTTGCTCATTTTACCTTTTTTATAGAGCTCCTACAAAGAGAAAGAAAACACTTGCATAAGCTATGCGACTGGAATACTTTTGATGTTAAATGAAATAGTAAAATGAAAATAACGTTAATTCTCACAAAGGGTATAACAAATCAAACAATTGTATTTCCCTGATACAAAGGATAAGCGGTGGTTTGAGAGTTCCATAAACCTGCCATGAGATCTAACATGCTGTTCGTCGCCCCACCTAAAATTGGCCCTTGAGTTGTTCTTTTTATCGGAGTGGATTTAGGATAAACCCATAAGCCATTGTTCATGATTGAATTAAACGCTGTATCCATGGAGTTTGTAGTTTGTACAGTAGGTGCTATTTGTTGTTTTTCTTGCTTGAACTGATTCCAAACATTAAATTGTTTTGATTTGCCATTATTCTGTGTACGATTAAACAATGAATTAATAGAATTTGATATTTCAGTTGGAATTAAACTTTTAAATTGGGTCCAGACATTTACGCTGTTCGATTGCCTCTTTTTAGACATCAATTTCAAAGGGTTAGTTCCAGTTCCAATTGAATTAATATTGTTCTCAGCTTTTACTGAAGTTGTAATGTCAGGCGCATTCTCATTTACTTCTAATCTATTCTGAGCTGTGTTAGAAATACTAATACCACTGTTTAATCCTTTTAGCAATCTGTCCAGAATTCGTGCATTAACAATTTTATCTTGAGAACCTGTGTTTCCGACTATTTTAATATTCACTGGAACATTGTTCGAGTTATGAAATGATTCTTCTGCGTTTCTTTTGTTTAATTTAGGCAAAGTAACATCTGATAATGGTTGATTCCTAGGTTCACTGAAAACAAAATTCTGTTTTCGAAATATTTCTGGTGAATTCAATACGCTTATCTTCGGTTGGCTTATAATCGAATTCTCATTGGCAACCGTTGGAGCATCAACTGCTATTCCTAGGACATCGACATTTCTGGCATCTAATTTCTTGAACGAAAATTTTGTTTTTGGATCTGAAATAACTATTGGTTTATTTCCCTGTAATCGACTTCCGGTAAAATTGTTTTCCTGAGCATTTATATTCTGATTTATTGTATTATCTAAAAATCCTAGTGGCACTTGTGACAACTTATCCCAAGACGAGGCAATATCTATTGAAGGACGTTCGACATATAGGACTCCGGGGTTTTGCATAAGTAAACTACCTACATCGGAAACAACCATGCCATCTGAAATGAGAAAACATGGACAGTATTTATACTATTTTTAATTTTATCATTCTACTCTACCGCAAAATGATACGAAACTAACCTTCCAACTTTACATAATATTACAGCTGAAACCATTTGAGTGTGTCAATATTAATAGAAGTTTGGTTTACTTATTTCTTAGGTTAACCATGAATTCGCTATTAGATATATAAAAAAATTTTCAAACAGCTAGGGTTTTTCAGTTATCCCTTTGTTTTTTCTGTCCCCTTATTTGATTGGTTAGGATTACATATTGTTACTCTTCTAAAGCAGAGGCATATACAAAGGTATCAGTAAACAAACGTTATATTGATTCCATGGTCCGCCGAGCAAAAAAAACAAGAGTAACGAAGATGTTCTTTATACAGACTTAAGCAATTTGATGTACACAATAAGTTTCCTATATATATTTTATTCTGCAAGCGTGTTCTTACAATGTTTGTTTACGCACCAGATTGAATGAATGCCATATTCATACTTGATGGCTTCTTTCATTTTTTATATAAAAGAGTCTACAATTTTCTTACAGCAGTGTAGACTATGCAGTAAAGGAGGTTTTATTTGTAGAAACAAAATGCTGGTACATTTATTTACCAGCTCTTTATTTATGAAACTATTTACGTATTAGTTAGCAGGTAGTTATAATAAAACATTATTACCGGTCAACGATGCTCAGTCTCTGTAGCTTGTTGGTCCACAGGACATTTACTGGTACACTATTTGATTAAATACAATATATATATATATAGATGTTATACCTAATTCTGAACTTTGAATATTTCACCTAATAGAAAAATGTGTGCAATCGTTAATTAATTTCAACTAGTAAATATGGTGTTGTTGCAGATGAGTCTTATAATGAGCATTCAAATGATATTCTTAACCATTTTATTTATTATTAACTTATTTACTTAACCTGTCTTTACATGCTCTGACGAATGTATACCTTTGTGAAAAGCATTTTGAGCCACTAAACCTGGCCCATTACCGCTAACAAGTGGTAAGGCTATTGGAATTCCGGTTCCTCTATTAGACTGGTTGTTTATTTCTCCTGTTAACCCAACGGGTGTTTTAAGGTGCACATCATTCGTCAAGTGATTGATATTTCGAGTACCACCTTGTCCGTTTGGATCATATACCATTGTATCCAATTGACTGTTAAGATTATTTAGTAAAGTGTTCATTCTAGATAGAACTTCATGCCATGCATTGGTTGTCGTTTGTGGCATGAAATCTATAATCTGACCTTCAGTCGTTGGACGGTTAATCAGCTGTTGGTTTATTACTGGACTTGTCGTTGATAAAGAAATACCATTAATACTCCTATTTTTGGTCATAGGAGGGTTAATTAGCTGCTGGTTTATTACAGGACTTGTCGTTGTTGAAGACATGCCGTTAATGCTTCTAGATTTGGTCATAGGAGGGTCAATTAGCTGCCGGTTTAAGACTGGAATATTAACTGTCGTGATTTCTTTTCGCATAGTAATGTCTTTTAATGGTGATACAGAGTTGTTTGGCTTAACCATGCCGGTTAATGTATCAGAAACTTTTACCATTGTGGATGATGATTTTGGTGTTACAGGACTGTTTTCAATTCTGACTTTAGAAGTATCAGAGTTAACATTTGTTTGCTCCATATTCAATTCGTTATTTTTCATCTCATTAGAAGCATTTGCTTGCTTCTGTCTGTTAAGAGCATACACACTTTGTAAAAACTGGTCTGTTAGATCTCCAAACGACTGAGTATTACGTGCAAATACATCAAAAGGGAAAAACTGGAGCGGCAAAAGAGTATCTAAATCTACATCGCCACCAGCAGCCATAGCACCATAAAACATGTCTCGCAGCATATTCATGTTTCTGTTGATACTTAAAGGGTCAAGTGTAGTATCTTCCATAGTCACGGGAATTCCAAGGGCGTTTTCAGTAGCATTTAGCACAGTTTTATTATGCATTGTAAACATTGATTGATTAGTATTAGCAGAATGTAAAAGCGTCGCTTTACCACCACCGGAAGCATTCAATAATTCTAAGCCGGAAGCAGGCGGCGATAAAGTACCTGCTATCCATTGTGCTCTGTTGAAGATGTTGTTACCAGGGGACTGAACCAAGTCTTGGTTCACACCAGATATTCCATTTGGGGATGTGATGTCAAAAATATTGCTCTTTATTTCCGGTAAAAGTGGCTCAGATATTACACCTTTAGTAATATCATTCAAATTGCCTACGAAAATAGGCGGAAGGGCGGGTTCTGGTTTTCCTAAATCAGTATGAATTGTATCTTGTAAAGTGGGAACCATAGTAGGAATCATTGTAACATCTATAGGTGGAAGAATAGTGCTAACTTCCGGTTTGTGCAAATAAACAGGTATTCCCGACGCGACATCCTCCGTATTGTTGGAGGGAACGATGTTTGATTGGTCTAGAATATTATCTATGGTTTTAATGTCATTTACATCTTTGCTCATTGTTATTGTTTTGACATCTTTAGAAGGTTGTGTAGTTTTTATTTTATCCCTTACAATATCTTTATTTATTATTGTATTCCAGTGTTCAGTCGGTTCATCGATTGTTTTTACAGGTTTCGGTGTTTTAGAAGGTTTCCCTCTCTTTGACGGAAGAATTGCTATATCGGCGCAGTTGTAATATTCTTCTTGGTTTCCACATCCGACATCTTGATATCCATCGTCACATCTCCCCCAATTGTATGCTAAAAATGAATAAATAAAGAGTTAACAATAGCATTTCATGGATATTTTATAAAGATTCGAGCATTTTTATTGGCAGACAACAACCATGTGATCGATAGCCATCGTCAAATTTACCGAAGTTGTATTAGAGAAAATAGTCAATAGATAAGCACGGGTAAATTTAAACCAAATACTAGTGTAGTTGATCAAACTTATAGCTTTGAGGGTTGTAGACAAGTTTGTTACCCCCCGAGAAAACCTTTTCAATCGAGTACAAATTGAATGTTCACGGCCAGGAAATAACGTTGACAAGGTGTTTTTTTTTAATGAGTAATAATTTGCTCTATCAACCTCTCAGATATATGTCATCTAAATACTAAATGTTAGATTGTTATTGCCTTTTAAATGTTGTTTTTCTCCAGTTTTTATTGATTAAAATAAGAGGATAACATTGAAAATGCTACCCACTGATCCATATGTATTAGCAGAATCTTTACCTCGTACTAACACATACATAGGCTGTCATTTCAATCAGAAGTATACTAATACTAAATATAAAAGTTATTTTACGAATAGCTATGTAATTTTTACATTAACAAAAAATGATAGATCTAAACTCTTGTAGCACTAGGATAATGCCTTAGGGTCGCCATTTTTGGAAACTAATAAATCCCGAAATTCAGAAATCTGTAGTGTCTTTTCAAAATCTCTTGTCACACAAACATTCTACTTGTTTTACTGCATATGTTATAATGACAGATTTAAGCGACTAACAATGAATAAATCAGGTGTAACAAAATACTGTTAATCATATTAAATTCTTGCATTTTTGCTTATAAAATTCCGTCGTGAAAGAGGGGCCAATACCAAAAGGACATTCATACTCATTAGTCGAAAATAAACTGACAATGCCATGGCCAAAAATGTAAAAAGACAAACATACAAACAACAGTATACTAAACACAACATGTATAGAAAACGATAGACTGGGCAACATGAACCCCATCAAAAACTTGGGGTGATCTCATGTGCTCCGGACGGGTAAGCATATTCTGCTCCACATGTGGCACCAAGTATGCTTACAATATTTGCCAGTGGACGTTCTAAAAACAATAAATAAGTATTCAATCTTCAAAAAAGTGTATTCATTCAACTGTGTAACTTCTACTATATCAGTATGTTGACCTAATTGATTGATTATCTTTGACGTACTGCCGTTTATTATTTGTATATTGTATTTGTATTTTTGTTTTATGTTTTATATTCTTGTATGTTGTATTCGAGCGAGATAAAACAAAATATTAGCGAGGTTAAAAACTATGATTAGTGACGCTTTTTTGTAAAAACACTTCCGAACCACAATTTCTAATAATAACATTGGAGGATTTCAAATTGAAGGAATTTCCGTTTATCACATATTCGTAAAAGGCAGAATTTTTTGTTTGTTTGACAACAACATTCATACCACAAACTATCAATCACTGTGTTACATGTATATACTAATGATCTTGTTAATCATTAATACATGTTATTTTTATTATTACTGGCTATTCCATTCCTATTAATGAATGTACAATGAAAATATACAAGCTCTTTAATTTTTTGCAATTTCGGCATGACATTCCAGAGACAGGAAATAGCTATCGTATCTTTTTATTAAGTAGACTAAGTTCTATATTTTCCGTTTATAGGCCAACAAGTATATATTTACTTATAAAAATAAGGAGATGGCATGATTGTCAATGAGGAAAACCCATACCGCATAATCGGCTATAAAAGGCCCCGACATGAAAAATATGAAACGATTAAAACGAGAAAACTAACGGCCTAATTTACAAAAAAAAAACAATTTACGAAAAACAAATATCACATACATGAACCAACGAAAACCTTTGAACTACAGGTTATGAGTTGGGATAGGCACATAAAGGGGTTAACCTGTTTGTGAGCCCTCAACCCCTCCCCTCACCTGGGATAGAGGTGTACCAGCACAACATAGAACAAACTGTAAAAATCATCAGCAATTGGCTTAACCCAAAAGCTCGGCACTAGGCACTAAAACAACTAACATAGAACAATAGACACAAAGCACCGAAGTCCGAAATAAAGATACTCGCAGTTACTGTTTCTTGACTTCTGGCATAACAAAGAGTATGCAGTAGCAGGTAAAATGAGTTTATCGTTTAAAATATTTTACATACACCAGAAATGGGTCATTTAAATAAAATGTCGAATTTTGAAATTGAAATATTGAATAAAAGTAACTAGATTAAGGTGGTACCAAACACCTTGACTAAAATTAATTTGGCTCGTTTAATTTTCATAAAATTTTGACAAAATACTTACTTTGACATTTTGACAAAAATATAAAAATTTCAAACAAGTTTCTTTAAAAAAAAAAAAAGACAACACGTGAACCTTAGAACTTTTTTATTATAATTATTAATTCAACTGAATAAGAAATTATATATCAGTGTTTGCATGGTCATGTGTGTGGAAGATAATATTTTCTTTTTATTGTAAATCATTACAATTTTGGCATGTCGAGAGAAGTGTTAAATATAAAGCAATGAGGGAAAAAAATAGATTCCCAGACGTATAATTTCTTAAAGAATAATAATGATTCAACATGGGGGACACATGTACCTTCTTCCAAAAATTCATAAAATTAATCTAGATATAAGTAATGAGGCGTTGCGAACTGGTCAGCTAGCAGGACACATTAATGTTCGTTACCGATCAATCATCAATAAATGCAACTCTCCCGCGAGAGATACTTACTATCTAATTATAAAACCATTATTGAAGAGGCATAACTTTTACATTCAAGATAAAAAGATTCGATTTATAAAATAGAGTCACACGAGGTCAAAAAAGAATGCATTCTTATTGCCTATGATGTACGTTAAGGTACACAAATATGATCATTGATAATTTAGAAGAAACTGCATTAGAATTAATTGACACACAGGAGAATATACTTTAAAGATTCTCAACAAAATAGATTTAACTGCATTTGTTAAATTAATTCGGCTTAGAAACAATGAATCTGAGTTTAATGGACTGTTATACAAACACATTATAGGAGCGCCCATGGGTGGTATATTTTCACCAACATGCACAAATCTGCATCTGTCTGTCCTATTCATTAAAATCTTAGACAAGTTCTAATGGAGAGAAAACATCAAATTACACTGTCAATAGGGATGACGGTTTTATGGTCTTCACAGGCAAATTAGAGCAAGTTGAAGATTTCTTTAACCTAGCAAACGAAATTGGCCATCTACTTTAGTTCTAATATGAGGTGTCGACATCTAGTATGACCTATTAAGAGGGTGGTAAAGGGTTATTTTCGTGCAACGTTTTCGGTCTTTTTATTTCACGTGATTTCGTGTTTCGACGTTTTATTTCTCGTTTTCTCGTGTTTGGTTCGGCGTGCGTGCTTCGTGTTTTCCCTTATTTCCCGTGTTTCGTGTCGGTACTCCTATTTTCTCGTGCTTGTCCCACATATGATTAAAAAGTAAACCGGGACTAATTCAAAGTCAGCCCAGATATAGTTTTAAATTATAAACTAATTAACTGGTCCCAAGATATTTATTAATAGCCTATTATATTACTATGATAAATCGTATGCAACTTAGAGGACGCTAAAAAGTTACCACATGCAGGCTCGCCATGTCAATTTATAATGACTGCATGATCTCCAAGAACGGCTGAGTAATAACTTTTGGTACTTTTTTCCTGAATACTTACGATTTTATTCCTTGGCTTCGTTTTTCCAGAGTGTTTTTTTCCGTGCAACGTTTTTTGCGATTTGTTATTTCACGTGTTTCCGTGTTCAGACCCCCCCTTTTTTTTACCACCCTCTTTTTAGATACCGAAGTGTACAAAGGTGATCGATTCCATAATAATGGAATTCTTGATGTTAAGTCACATATATTAAAAACACAGAAACGTTTCAATATTTACCAATCACTAGTGCACATCCAAAACACACATAAATTTCAGAGTATTAATTTACAGTGTGTGAATAATATAAGAAATAATAGTGACATCAATGAATTAAATAAACATTTAATTAGCTTACAAGATAATTTAATTGATAGAGAATACTGTAAAAAGAAAACAGTAAAAGTTGTAAAAAATGTATATTAACGAATAGTCTTTTGATATTTTACTTGTTTTATTTTCATTTGAAATATATTTTTTTATCTGATTTGTCAAAATTACAAGTATGCATAATGATTTTATTGTTACAAATCAAAGCCCAAAGCCCACTATAACTCATTATGTGAAAGTCATAGCACTATTTTAAAATATCTCTCTGTGAATATCTAGACACAGATGTTTGATACCATATGCATAGGTCGTTATAATTAAATCTTGACCATTTATCTTTCACTTGTTTATCAAAGGGTACAACTGTCAACTTTGCTCAAGTCAGTAAACCCTTGAATGCATGAAATGTAGCTTTACAATAAATATACATGTTTGAAAAGGATCTATAGATTGTTTATTATCATATATCAGATAAGTGAATTCGCGATCTGTGAAAATTCTTTATTGTCATGATTTAAATATCTTAGATACCCCGTATGGAGGTGCTCTTAATTGCAGGAAGCTAATATAGATAAGATGAATAGGTGTTCCGAATGAACAATAATTTAGCTTCCGAATATTCCTCCATAGACTATATTTCTAACTAATTTATATGCGTGAACCCCTGAGGGTTCACGCAAAAAAATTGAACCACACACTTTATCGGAAAAATTTCATTGGATATATAGCAGTTTGACAAACACTAATTTTGATCACCTCAGGGGTTCACGCAAAAACTTGAACCACACACTTTATCGGAAAATTTTCATTGGATATATAGCAGTTTGACAAACACTAATTTTGATCATTGAGAAGCTTAATATTTCCTTAGCAATAGAATGCAATTAAAACGTTCAGCTGATTTTTAAAGAGTTATCTCCCTGTAGTGTTATGTACCACTAAACCAACCTCTTTATAAGCA